GGGCTTTCGTTGACTTGGCGTAGATTTTATTAAGACAATATGTGTTGTATCGCTACGCTCGTCTACTTTGTATCTTGACCCTAAAGTGTGTTTTTTATTTTACCACCTCCGCAAAACCCCAAGTTGCAACTTGCAACGCTCGGCGGAAATATACTAGCATAAGTTGCATAATTATTTTATTGACCGCTTGTTATAGATGATCTGAAAATTAATACTTTTTATTGTAACCTTCTCAACCGCCCGGGCGATATTAATCATATCATTATACAAGAACGATAAAGGTTTTTTTCGGCTGACAATATTATGTATAATCGACTAAACATATCCATTCAATTATTTTGGTATTATATATAGTGTTGGAACTGTTTAACTATCTTGTATGTACAACATAATATCTCATTGTGGTACAAGAAAGTATCTTCACACAGCATACTATTGTGTCCGTAGTAATAAGTTGTACGTACCAGAATGAGATGATATGCTGTAATTTAAAGGTGACGCGTATGTGCCTCCTAAGTTATACCATTTTAACCAGATAACTTAGCAAATGTACCACTGTTGGTAATATGCACGCCCTTACATGAGTTAATCAGCGTGGACATTTCAGATATATCATTGTCTACACTAGTGAATTAGTCAACAATTATAAAACGCGAGACTATATAGCTAGTGGCCTTTGGTGTCGCACTGATTTGAACATATCCGTTTGTTTAGCAACTTAGTGATGCCATGCGTAACTCATTAATCAAACAGCAACGATGTTATGGTGTTATTTGTTCTTGTGTACGACAAACTATTACATGAAGTATTGTACTGTAGGTACAATGTCTGAAGACTAGATATTGTGCGTCCCTACAGTTATTTTTTGACGGTGGACCTCTCGTATCCCCCTTGCGGGCGGGACGCCAAATTAGGTAATAATGAACAAGCCCCCTGTGGATTCATACAACTGTCATCACCAGGTTGCCCCTATAATAATACCATCTGACTTCTAAAACACGCTGTTGATAGAGAATTTGAACCGAAACTATAAAAAAAATTCCAGTACACAAAAATAGTCTTTGGGCCATACTTAAAATATGTTATTTTTTCTTCTTTTTAATTAAACATAAAAACAATCCTCAGAATACGGGAAATCGCTTCTGAAACGTTCTAGAAAATACAATTTGTTGGGGGGTGATCCCCAAACCCCCCCTTAAAGGAGGGGGATGACCCCCTCCCGTACCCTCCCCCTCCTCGCGCTACGCGCTCGGGGTGCTGCCTTCGGCAGCACACCGTTGACTATTGAGAAAAATGTATCGGCTCCCCCCTTTTAGGAATTCCTGGATCCGCCCCTGATGGCACCATGTGTACCTGTCATCTGTAAGGGCAACCGGGCAAGATGATAGCACATGCGCAAGTTTGGCGGGTTTTCTGCAGAGTTCACATGCTAGAGATATCAAGAAATTGGCACAGTCTTCTCAGTAACATCAGACAGTTCATATATACCTTGTAGGACACACCGTTGGGTCCATGCAGGTGCCGATTCTGTATCAGCTTTCCTGATGGTATTTTGAACGTCTGTCTTCATTTCCCAGTCTCCTCCTATGAAAACAATATCGAAATATAGGAAAAAATAACTCTTACTTTAAGATTGGTCAGTTTGGTTTGGTTTTATAAATGTTTAACGTCCTATAAGCAGCTAAGGTCAGTGAAGGACGTGGCTCCATGTGTGTAATGTAAGCGTGCATGTGTGTATGTGTGCCGGAGACAGGGTATATTGGTGTACTTGCCTCCTTGTGATAGCGCAGATCATCTGATGCCTAAGGCAGTAAGTACAGCATTCCGCCCGGTCACATTATACTGACAACGAGTTAACCAGTTGTTGACATTACCATCTATGCTGAAAGTTAAACAGGGAATAATAACCACTATTTTTAATGTTGGTCAGTGTAATTCCGTATACTAGGGTTATTCAGTGTAATTCCGTACTTTCTCAGTCCCCGTCCTCGGGGGTGTAAGCCCCTAAATTAATACAATTTTGAATCCCTATTACCTGAGGATTTTTTCAAACCTTCTCAGGTAATTTTATAATTCCTGTTTTCATTTCTGTTTTCATTTTATAATTCCAGAGGAGATGTCACTTCAAGCATAATGGACAAATTTCTCTATGGTCCTCCATGGGGGAGGTGGGGGATGACAACCCATGCAGTTGTACAATTTTTAACCCCCACCACCTGATAATCTTCTTAGTCCAGGAGAACCAATCGCTTTGAGAAATACAGTCAAATGATGCCACAGTACGGCATAAGCTCACTGTGTAGTAATAGTTTGTCTGTAGTTTTCTGGGAAATCACACTTTCAGGTTTTATTTTTCGAAAGAAATGACCATGGCTAGTTTTGAACAAGAGGAGAAGGGATCCATATTATGATGTAGTGCTCGCTTGCTTACTATCAAGTACAATTCTGACCTTGACTCCCTGTAGACACAGATTTTTTTTATATATTTTTTTAAATCCGTCATTACAAATGTTGTCATTTATAACCTCCCATGAGTTACACTTTATATAAGGTTCATAAAACGTTGTTTTTTGTTGTTGTTGTTGCTTGTTTTCTTTGCAGGAGAGAAAACTGAAACATTCCAAACGAGTATCATTAATCCAGTATGCAGGGAAACGAATGACATTCTTTTTATAACGCGACCTGTTAATTTTCATTTTTCTCAAATTAAGCATTTCGCTGCTGATCGTTACATTTTGCAACCGAATCACTCGGAAGCCGGAAATAAGTCAAATATACGGGCTTATGATGGTCACACATCTAACTTGGTTTCTTGAAGTTGTCTTTTTATTAAATAAGTTCGTCGCGTCATATATTTTAGACAAATGAAATCATTTGCAGTTTATATATTTCGTTGTAACGTACAACAAAATCTTGATGCGATAGTGCCTGAGCATGGGGCCAAACCCTTCTTTCAAAGAAATATCTATTGGATTGACCATTGTTTTCATAAAGTGCAACTCTATGACATCTGATAACTCGTTTTCCTTTTTTCCTTTTTTTACTGTTCTAATACTTAGTAAGTCATATGCTTCTTCATACACAGTAAACAATTCTGGCAAATCCAATACATGCACAATTAGATTGTGTTAGGTAATGAACGAGTAGTCATCACATGTTTTCAATAATAAGATGGAGATGTAAGCATTTTGTAAATGAATCTTATCTTATGACGACATTACTTGTTGAGTACAATTATCTAAGCTCCTGTCGTGGACAAGCACAGTTTTGTTTTTAATTAAAAGATTTTGAACCGGTCCCAGACAGGACATCGATATTGCTTGTACATTCAGAATCTTGTATGTAATGAGTATGCGCTCTACGTCTGCGTCATACAAATACTTGAACTGTATCATGACAAAGCAGAGATTTATCAGTACTTTCACTATATTTGTATATACGTGATCCGATTTCGGTCCTTCTTCTTCTGGTATTATCACCCGATTATATATTCTTAAATATATCATGCGAGTACAATTTGCATCTTTTTCAAGAATACAGTACAACCATACCAATTTACTGGACTCATAAATAATATGACACTATGTTCGTTATACTTCATGGCTGGAGATTAGACTAACGAAGGCCGTGGTAAAACATCACAAATATTATTCCACGGAAGCCCGGGACACAATGCATGGTATTGATGTTGTGTATGTTCGACCACAATCGGTTACCGTGTATCTGGCTTCATATTCTGTTGTTTCCATAAACACGTCAACAAAATGTCTGAGGACGATTTTTACCAAACATTTGTTTCTTGATCTCATCAAGATTAAGAAAGTCAAGATCACCAGGAACACAGTTTATATCATTGTTGTCACTACACAGTTTTTCATCAGTGTCCACAAATTGGTCAACGTGCAGTTTTATCACAATTCCGACGACTAAAATGGCTACAAAAACGAACACTAAAATAACTCTGTATGTCAATGTCCTCTTCCAACTCGGGGATGAATTCGGTAGTTTGTGATAGTCATCGTTTTTGTCGGCGACTTTCGGCTGTTGGTTAGGAATGTCTGAGTTCGACATTGACGAATATTCTTGCTTCTCACCAGGCGGTGAGATATACTCGTGATTCGACAGTACACCATAGCATTGTGTTCCTCTAGTGGTGAGCGATTCGTCATCGATTAACCTTGTCTTACTGCCATGAAGTTTACTCATCAAGACAATGGAGGAAGCACCTGAACAAAACAAACACATTGTTATTATCATTATCATTAAAGGACATGTTTCTTATTTTGTTTTCCCCTGGCTACATTGATGGGGAGAAAGTACCAATTTTCCATGCATTAGACCCAACAAACCTATTTATATATACGTCTTTGTCTTTTGTTTTATTATTATTCTGCTTTAATATTCAATTAATTGCTTAACATGTTCCGGAAAAAAATCCATAGTCAATAAATATAACATGTTCCTAAACATTCCCCTACAGACTATTAATCAGGTCAGGTCAGACTATTACTAAGGTCATACACCTTTGCCCTAAAGATGTTTCGAAACTTATACTGGAATTAAACATGATACACAACATTTTCATTTGAAAATGTTTACTCAATCAGTCCTCGGTAGTGAATCGTGACTTATATCTCATCAACGGAAAAGTATATCTCCACAAATCTTACAAAAGAAATCATGATTTTAATGGTCATTTTAACGGTTTTTATGCATCCCCCTCTCACTCTCTTTCAACAGTGGTTAAGACCTAATTGGATTTCAAACATGTTGGTCTCTAGTATGCTAGTAATCTGACGTCAAAACTGTATTAAAACTAAAATCTGCTAAGTTGTCCGAATTGATAGAAGAGGCGTCACGTTTGTGTTTGGTAACCCTCAGATCGTGCCATTCTACCACGATCTGAGCTAGCTGGCAGTTGTTATATCATAACGATACGTGCTTATGTTACGTAGCGGATTAGTATATAAGGACAAAGGTCAGTCGTGCAAAACACCAGATCTCAAAGACTCCGGACAGACAATGAACTCCACCTTCGCTTTGGTTTTCGTAGGCGTCATTGGTAAGTGTAAAATTACGTGATTCAGCTTGGAGAGTTACAATGCCAACTTTTATAAAGTTTGTATAATATAATAATTTGCAATCAACATAGTTCATCTTGCACAGCTCCACAGTCAGCAGTAGCTCACTTAAGTACAACCGGTCAGTGTTGATAGTTAAACCACTTTTTAGTACAATCATTGATTTAACACGACTTCTGTTGTTGTTAATGCAGCCATTAGTTTGAATACAAGAAAAACATTAGTAAAACGTTAATCGTAATAAAGCGATTATCCTGCTGGGATGACACATAACTAATGGCATACTATTTCATTCATATGCAGTTTGGTTCTTCTAGTTGTGGCAGCGTGAACTTCAAACTATCCACAAAAAACACAAACCTAACACTAAAACAGCTTTTTTTTTTTATTACTAAACAGTATGTTTGCATTTTGGTGACACAAATAAAAAAAAAATAACATCAGTTATTGTTCACATTCTCAGTATCATGTAAAATGTGGTAGAACATATATGTTCCTTTGAAAATAGAAATCCTGACGGCTCGACGTATATGACATTTACTTTTTCAAAATAAAAGTAATCCTTAGCAAAATGTGAGTAGTATATAATTGAAATGTATTAAGATGTTGACCTCTTGTAACACACCTTGTGTGTCTTGAGTATAAAACATAGATATCTTGAAATCTACACAAAGTGCACACCGTTCACTTAATAATGTTATAATTAAACATGTGCTTTAATTGATTTTGTGAGCTAACATATCGAAGAGTGGGTGTAAACATTGGTAAATTCTGTTATCACTAAAACATTATTGTTATACTAGAAGGATATGTGCTCTGTTTGGTATGGGGAGAGTCTGTCAAGTGCATGTATATATGAAGATTATTGTTGATTTCACTTTTTAGTGAACTAAAACCTACATTATTATTTGTATATTTTTAGTTCCGGAGGATGTTACTTGGCTCATTATTCCACATGATAACCTTGTTTAGTTTATTAATGCTAAATGCGTTATCTTTGATTGGTACCTATTGCCACGTTATAAAACAGAATTCAAAACGTTTATAATGCAAACTATATACGAAATGTTCGTTTGGCATACTCTATCGATTAACAAATTTCAAAGGTGCTATCATCTGTTTGTGTGTTGCGTTTATCTTTGATTATTAGTCCTTTTTATAAAGGTCGGGAGGTTTATTATGATTAGCAGTTAGAAGTTGCTTTAATTTAATTCATTTTTAGAATGATCTATTTCTCTTTCAACTTCATGTAGCGGCCGCTGTGTACGGCGAGGTTTGCATGGTCAAGGATGAGTGTAAGGACACTACGTGTGTAAGCGGTATGGTCGAATGTGTCGAGATCTCTGGAAACCACTTGTGCACGTGCGTTCAGCAGGATATGCACAACGTTGGTAAGTATACCACATATAGATACATAATTTATACATGTTTGGAGTATTCAGAATGTGTTGATGTCATACCATACAATGCATGTGCACAAAATATTTGGGGAATGGTTGAGTTACGTTTGACTTTTACCATGATTTAAATACACGACATGATGTCAGACTATTTACTTGATGCTGTGATGTACCGACATTGTTAATTCTTAGGAAAACTATTTTTTTCTTTCTGTTGTTTTTTCATTTTTTTTTCTTTCTGTTGTTTTTTTTCTATTTTTTTCTGTTTATAATACGTTTAAATTGTGTCATGAAACTGAAAACATCGATACCTTTCCATTGACGGTAAAGTTGAAAATGCATTGAATATCCTCCTCCTCCCCGTCAGCTGGAATATGTTCAACGCATTTCTGGCTGTTAATGTTGCAAAAGGGCAACAGTGTCATAACCTTGTTGCATTCTATACAATTGCATAACAATGCTTTAATGCCTCAATTTGAAAAGAATTTGGAACAAGCCTTCGAGTGAAGTTTCTTAATATAATAGTGCATGTTACATACCGACAACTAACTTTTGATCACTGTTTCAAGCATGTAGTACCAGGACTGACTGCCAGATGGATTCGGTGCAGATGAACTGTGACAACACTATGAGACATTGTGTGGACGAGACCTGCCGCTGTGAGGGCAAGGGACACAACCATGGACTGTTCACTCACCCTCCACACCCAGACCATCCTTCCCACCCTCCTCATGGTGGAGGACATCAATAGAGGTAGGTCGTTTTATCAATTAGACTTGTCACACTAAAAATCATCAACAATTTCTATATATATACATTAAAGTCATGGTGAGCATAATTTCTAAAAAGATTAAACACAACGCAGTTAAATCAGAAAAAAACCTTTCCCTCATTGTTATCAGGGCGACAACACTACTTCAGACGAAACGTTAAACAGGTGGATGGGATTTAATTAGTTATTATTATATGTTATTTTTATTCATACTCGTCACAATTATAGATCGTTCATGTTTTTATTAATTCCTTGAATGGTCTAATGTGTGTGAAACAGTTGAATATAGGAAGTTTACAACTAGCTGAGAAACATCGTGAAAGACCTTTATCAGTCTATAATGACGCTGTTTTTTAGTTATGTATAATATCTTTGTTGTATTTATTTCTGTATGATACACTTATGACAAACAACCATACACCGACACTTTTGATGAACCATGATGCTTTTGTTGTTTTATATCGTCGTATTATTGGTCGTTTTATAAGCTTGTTTAGTTATAACTATGTGTACAAATCCTATAGTAACTTGACAATTGTGTACCGTTTACGGCATTAGTCAAAAGTTTTACATTTTTGTAGTAAGTATAACCATCGGATTCAAAACTCAGTCGCAAGAATCACATGTTCCGTTATCGAAGCTGACGGCCTTCTTATTTTGCCGAAGTTCAAAACTTTATTTCGACTTGACACTTGACAACTCTCCCAAAGTTACGTCAAAGGGAGATTTACGTGATCTTTCCACCAGGTACTGCGACAATTTACAAATAAATGAAAGCTTTAGTATATTTTCGTTCTGTTAACTAAATAAAGATTTATTTCGAAACATAGAAAATATATTTGTAAGCCTGTAATATTGCAATTTTTTCATTAAGTCGTGTCCAGTCATTTGTTCTGGAAAATAGTGATCCGCTTCTTGCATATCAAAGATAGTACGCTAACTTAAGAATAGTTGTACATTCGGTTTACGATAAAAATGGTTTAAGATCTCGGTTTTCTGACACGCAGTGCATCGCAGTAAAATTCACGTCATGTCATCTTTCTATTTACACAACACGCACTATAACTATAGTATATAAACACAGTTGACAAGTATATTCTGTATATCACACAAATGTCAGTCCAATAACTATAGTATATAATCACAGTTAACTAGTATATAGTGTATACCACACGCATGCCAGTCCAATAACTATAGTATATAAACGCGTCATCTTTCTATTTACACAACACGCACCTATTGTCACTCTCAAAACAATGCTATTCTTATATATGGAATGTCGTCTTCAACACGTAAACAAATAGTTAGACATCCCCAAAATGTTTATTTTATCACATCACTTACACATGATTCTGTAATAATAGGAAAAATCATAAATCCATTATAAACGTAAGCTTTGCATTTAATAAACATGAAGCAGCGTTTAAATTGTTGAATATACGAGATTATAAATGCAGTGTAAGACCACTAAAAAATCTAATCTAAAACAGCTAATTTAAATTTAACTCCATTTTATTGGCTCTTTAATCTCATTAAACACTCGAAAGGGAAATCAAACATTTTAATATTTATGGAATGAGACACACTCAACATGTTGTCTATTCTTTTGTTTTATTAGTAAAAAAAAACTATTTCAAGTATATGTAATCCTACATATCTTGGTTATATAAAGAAATATCCCCATATTTTGACCTGGCATTTTAATGGAACCTTTGTGAAACGAAAAAAGGAACTTTGTTTACCTTTATGATTATACACATATATATACAAGTACTTATTCGTCTTTTTGTAAATTGTAGAGCAGTACTCACCTGATGATACAGCGCCTTCTTTATCCACCAACCCTGCTCGAATCTGAGCCTACGAAATGGAAAGTATAGAAATCATATAATAGTCAGTGTATTATAACAGTGCCATAATGAAATAAAATAAATTAAATGAAATACAATATTAAGTTGTCATTACTTCAATAGAAATCGTTCAACAAGAACGAGGCAATCGGTTGGGACATATAGCAGATCAGTTCAAATTAAAATGTCTCAAATATGTTGTTCATGACACAGTTTGGAACAACAATTTTTTGTAGAGCTTCTCATTGTCGCAAGGATTATATCAATTGATATACTTGACACCAGTACATGTAATGGTACCCATGTACACATATATTGCCTTTATGAGAACAGAGAGAGAGAGAGAGAGATAATAGAAAAGAAGAAGAAAAATATCAAAGAAAAATTGAGAAAGTCAACAGAAAAAGGAAGAAAAGAAGAATCTGGTTTTTGCACTGCAGCTCAAGAATAAACAGAACTTTGTGTTTAGAATAAGATTATAAGACAATCTTCAGTATTAGTTCAAAGCAAGGTGCCTTCGGCTTTAAACTGCAAGTAAATACAGCCATATACATTTACCCTTGGGTAAATTATACCAAGTTTCCTAAAAAAAAAAGTGGCCGGGAAATTAGGGTTATACCCAGGACAAAATATATTTATATCATAATAGAGATAAACTTTAATAAGTTCAGACAGAAACTTCAACTTAAATTCACAAAAAAAGGGACAAGTTCAGGCAAGATTCAATACAGGTACAGGTAAATAACTGCTTTAAAAAGCATACAGAACAAGAGATAAAGCCCTTGTGCAAACTTAGTGTGTGCTGGCTACATGTATGTGCATCAGTGTATTTTCAAAATATAAAATGAGAACTGTGGGAGGAGTTGTATTGTATCTACCGACTTGATGATATTAAATGATTTCATTTTCGGCTTATAATTCCAGGAGGTTATTCCATTTTTTCCAATCTCTTTCCAGTTTTCTTACAAAATAGTCCCCCTTGCAACTTGCTATATATTTTTGTACAGAATGATGGTCTTTTATGCTGTTAATGAAAGCATTTACTGACAAAGTGTTTTGAAGGCACCTTGTTTTATAAATATAGTGTTTGATCATAATTAAAATTTCATTATCTGGTCTGTTGCCTATTCCTGACTGTGACACTATTCCGAAAAGGAAGGATTCCTTATTAAAAGAAAATGGGATAATTAAAACTTCTAGTAGTGTTTCTACTCTGTGTAGGAAATTTTGTACGATGGCACACTTCCATAATGTATGAATTATTGTTTCCCTATCTATATTGCAAAAAAACACATAAAGGATTATTAGAGAGGCCGGCTTTGCATAGGTATATATTTATTGTCAAAATATGATGGAGAATTCTTACTTGGAGCAATTGGAGTTTTGTATTAGTAGTTGTGCGAAATAGAATTTGATAAAAAAAATCCCCATTTATTGTCCCTAATGTCAAATATTTCTCCCCATTTCTTCCTACCAGTTGAATAATCTTATTTTCAGAAAGTATTACATAGAAGTCCTTAGCTCCTTTAGTGTTTTTGTAAAACATTTCCAAATTAAGGGGCATCATTGGATACACTAAGCCTACATTGGTATTATGCCCGATATTGTTTTGATTAATATATCTTCTAAGAGCTGACAGGATACCATAATACTTCAGAAAGTTTGTGTTTATATTGTATTTGTTAAATATCGATGATGCCGGTCGATTTAAAAAAAGCATGTTTAAAACATGGACAACAATTTATTTAAAGAGCCAATGGACATCATCACATGTTGCATAACCTAAGATTAAACATCGTTTGCAATCACGTGGACAGGCAAGTACGTATACAAAGTGCTAGATATATAAACCACTTGCCTCATATCACACGATTTATCATACATATGAGCAGCACTATGACGCATTAGGCTTGTAACCTCTTCGACAGTATGGCGACGTTAACGCAAATGACTGAATAATTCGAGACCATCAGCAACTTAGATGCAAGTTTAATAACCGATCTGAAAAGATTATCAGTCACATTTGTTTTTTCATCTTTCAAATACATTATCTATTGATTTTACAGAAACCTCTTGATTTAAATGTTGATGTTGCCACATTAGGAGCTCTGATATTAATTCTCAGATATAACACGTTGTTTGATTGAATAATGTTCTTTGCAGATTTTGTTCGACGATCTAAAAATGACAAAAATTTACTGACGCGAAAAATGGAAGATTAACATTACATGCAATTAGCCTTAAATTCAAAACATAAAATCAAGGACAAAACGAACGTATGCTCTTGTCTTAATGTAACATTAAACATACAAGAAAACTGTTTTATGTGGATAAGGATGCACGAATAAATGTTTTTTATATGCTGTCTTCAGAAATAAAGATAGCAATTAAAATGAGACATTCAGGTGAGCTTCATATATTCAGACTCTTAAATTCCCAGTCAAAATGACTTGATATAGAAGGCTGGGTAACTACAACAATTGTGTGTATAAGATCAACTGGATAAGTAATGGCTAGATAATTGAGTCTCAACTGAAAAAGAACACAACGATTTTAAATGTTCTTACGGGTCAGTAGTGAAGAATAAGGGAAGAACACCATTCACTGCTAATGTCAGAAGACCAATAGCCACGGCTAACATAACTGAAAGAGAAATATATATTTCCATAACTTAAAGAAGAAGGGTACATACAATTATATAAAGTATATAATTGCTATTTTTGTAATAGGGCATACCTCGCAACGAAATAAACAGATAACATATAAGCATAGTTGCATAACAAGTGTGGTGATTTCATGACATTTTGACGAAATTTGGATAAAACTGAAGGAGTTGTTCGGACAAGACTCCGTGTACACACAAATGAACGGTAACGTTTTAAGTGGGATTACAGATGAGATACAATGCGCCTCGCAAATAAGTAGAACTTCTCTTAATGATAATAATGTATGCTGTTTTTACGATTGTACCTATGTTATACATGGAAGTAACTTAATAACTACATAATGTGTATTTTCTGACAATCACACAAGTTTTCTCCTCCTTAAGCTACTTATACTCTGGAAACCAATCGTCAGCAGTCACGTGGTCAGTTTTGTTTTGTATTTATAAGCTAACTATGATTAATAGAGATTAAAAGATGACGTTCAAATTATTTGGAAGATCGCCTCTTTCGATCGTCTTACTTAATTAATTACTCAGAACCATTTATCTACATATCACGTTAACAAAATAATGAACATATTCAAATAATATGTTTTTTGATAGTTATAGTATGCCCTTTGGCATGACTTTTGAATTTCCATTCTTCATTATGTTTTTATTGTTTCGAGCTTGTCTGTACTTACCATGAACGCTAATGCTGCCATATTATAGGCTATCGTATGGCTGGCCAGGGGTACTACCCCAAGTGTACCTAAACACATCGAAGTATTGTAAGATCACTTCCAGTAGCACTTTTTATCAAATGAATGCCGTGTATAGACATATCTCAGATTATTAGGTTCAACATATTTCATTAAAATCACGCCACAATCTCCATTGATTTGTGTTATTTCTTTTTATTATTTTGTAACGTATGATGAAAGGGTTATGCTATTGGAATCCTACCCCGTATCAACCCTCGACCCATATCAGCCCCTGTCTGCGGTCCCTTGTGCTAATATAGAGGTCCGATGCTTAGATAAACGTAATACTTCATTGTGATGTAATTTAATCTTAAATGAACATACACGAATATAAAATGAATGAATTTGGACGTAAAAGAATAAAACGCTTACAAGAATATACAAAAACTCTGAAAAATATTTCAACATTTTATGCAAATTTATAGATAATACCCCTGCATTTATACAAACCAACAACGAAGAAGAGAATTTCAAAGTCCACCATTCTAAACAGACCATAAAGAGACCAGGTAATGCCAGAGAAAAGAACTTTCCCCATTCGTTGAAGCTCTCCAAACTCCATCCTTATAAACAAACATACAAGCAGTCCATAACAATTCAAAATGAGGCAGAGGTATTTAAAACAAAATCAAGTATACATATAAAAGTACAAGATGATCGGAGAAATTGCTTCAAATGAAATCAATTTCTAGGATCTAGCGGGCTGTCAGAAGTTAGTTCCTTTGTGTTGGTGCCCTTTTCGCGTAGAATGTGAGTTCCGATTCTGTCCATGTGTGTAAATGCTTCGGTATTAATTTTACTTTACCAAGTCCATTGTCGTTATTACACTTGATAACTCTATTGTTTGGCTAATGTTAAGCAATGCCTACTCTCCTTTTTCACTTTCCGACATTTAAAACACTAAAGCATGTTTAAGTTTCATTAATGGTAAACCCCTAGATATTTCCGTTATTGTTTGGGTAGCTCAACAGGAACAGTACAGTAGCACACTATTGTTAATACAAAGTCATTGAACATGTATGAGATTGTGCACATCCATTGTATTTACCATCCCATGTCGCCTTATGTCTTCCCTTGGTCAGTATGTAAATGACGTTGAATAGTACGATCGTCCACTGTGTCAGAGCCACAGATAAAGCCGCTCCCCTGTTAACATAAACAAACACGAACAACACTGACGGTATTTTTATACATTCAATGCTATAAGTTACAGACTGGACACGTTAGTAAGTTTTGTTACGGGAAGCATTTTTGTTGATTCCACTTTTAATTGAAGATAAATATACAGATATAGAATGAGGTTTTTGCCTGTTTAAAACTAATTTTCCTTAATAATAATACACATAAAATTCCGGTTTATGTTCCAAAAATAAATTATTACTATTGATTACCTTCATTGTAGTAAATTCCCCTTAATTGAAGTAATTAAGAAATAACAAACAAGGATTTAAGAAAAATGATATCGATTCATTTACCAAGAACGTGTTTCTCTTTTTGGTTGCAAGGTTTTTACTCACATGATACCAAAATGCAGTCCAATGATAAACAGCGCGTGCAATCCGCCGTTGATAACGTTTGACACGAAGGCAATGGCCAGACTCGGCATCACAATGCTCTGTAAATGTCGAAATAGTTCTGTCATCACAATGCTCTGTAAATGTGGAAATAGTTCTGTCATCACAATGTTCTGTAAATGTCGGAATAGTTCTGGCATCACAATGCTCTGTAAATGTCGAAATAGTTCTGTCATCACAATGCTCTGTAAATGTCGAAATAGTTCTGTCATCACAATGCTCTGTTAATGTCGGAATAGTTCTGTCATCAAAATGCTCTGTTAATGTCGAAATAGTTCTGTCATCACAATGCTCTGTAAATGTGGAAATAGTTCTGTCATCACAATGCTCTGTAAATGTCGAAATAGTTCCGTCATCACAATGCTCTGTAAATGTCAAAATAGTTCTGTCATCACAATGATCTGTAATTGTCGAAATAGTTCTGTCATCACAATGTTCTGTAATTGTCGAAATAGTTCTGTCATCACAATGTTCTGTAGTTGTCGAAATAGATCTGTCATCACAATGCTCTGTAATTGTCAAAATAGATCTGTCATCACAATGCTCTGTAATTGTCGAAATAGTTCTGTCATCACAATGTTCTGTAATTGTCGAAACAGATCTGTCATCACAATGCTCTGTAATTGTCGAAATAGATCTGTCATCACAATGCTCTGTAATTGTCGAAATAGTTCTGTCATCACAATGCTCTGTAAATGCCGAAATAGTTCTGTCATCTAGCATTTGTATGCCACTTAACAAATATGTTTTGATTTTATGAAATAGCTGGTATGAAAACAGTGAGAGGTTTGTTAGATAAATACAGAAAGTGATGATATAGGTTTCGAGAAAACATATCACTGTTAATGATTATATAATAACCTAGCCACACACAATTTACTCAATGAACAAGAAGCACTGTCACATCGGGTATTCTTTGTTATTATTTTTGATCGTTTTAGTTTTATTAGATAATGGTAATTACAGTCCGGAACGACATCAAGGTTTGGGTGATATATATATATTCTATTCGGCTCTCATAACATGATCAACTACCTGACACTGATTTAAAAATATAGCATTTTGCCTCTGTCGATTATAAAAGCGTGTTTTACTGGTAGGCAAACCCGATTTTTCAACAGCAGAAATGTCAAATAACCAAACTAAATCTTGCTAAGAATGTGACAATACAAAGTAATTATACATTAGAAACACACTCTCATATACCTTAACATGTAAGCCGTAAAACGTCGTCTACAAAATCAAATGTTGTTAAAGTAACGAAAGTCCACGAGGGATAAATCATGTAACAACATATTATGCTCCTTATACTGCTTTTGTGTTTCAATAAACATTTGACGTGTCTTAAGGGGAGTGTTGCTAAAGTCCCTAAAGCAGATTTGACAGTTTGTAAATTACAACTGCGTTAACGTGAACCTACCTGTGCTTCGCTAAAATGATAGCAATTATTTGACCCTGTAATGATACAAAAATGAGCAACTTACAATTAAAATCAAGAGGCAGAGATACATTCACTAGTCCATCTGGTTTCTTCTGATATCCATAGATAAGAGGATGTGGACGGTTCATTGGACTCCGAACAGCGCGTAACATAACAGTTCCTAACAAACAGCAACTGAACATGCTTCATGAAAACATGATTGCTGTTTCCCTTATTTTGCCTAACACCCTGGTAGGAATGAGGCAAACGATTTGAACACATGTACGCCCCCTGTGTTCCTTGGATGCATCATCACACAATTGTACAACCTAGCTGTTACCCCTGACTGCGGCTTTATTCAAATTCTAATTAGTAGACATTATTCCTGATACATTCTGATCATTTCTGCACCTCTAAAAGGATATACAAAATGTCCTATAAATTGGCCGCTCCCAACAGCCCTATTTTTGTCAGGAGCCTGATTTTTATAATCGTATATTCACTTCTCATAATAAAATATTCATGTCAATACTTAAACAAATATGTTTCTAACTAAAGGAGAGAAACTTAAAAAATATTGATATTCAAAGTAAAAAAGGCCCTTATATAAAGAAATCAGAGGGACTGGATATTTACAACACTTGATCGTATCAACAGTAAAAAAATACGCTAAAGAAGAAACTCTTGTAAAAGTTATATAAAAATAGGAGCATTGTCAACACCAGCGGCTTACCTCAATTTTAACTTACAGCATTATCAACACCAGCGGCTTACCTCAATTTTAACTTACAGCATTGCCAACACCAGCGGCTTACCTCAATCTTAACTTACCGCATTGCCAACACCAGCGGCTTACCTCAATCTTACCTTAAAGCATTGTCAACACCAGCGTTTTACCTCAATTTTAACTTACAGCATTGCCAACACCAGCGGCTTATTTCAATCTTAACTTACAGCATTGCCAACACCAGCGGCTTACCTCAATTTTACCTTACCGCATTGCCAACACCAGCGGCTTACCTCAATTTTAACTTACAGAATTGACAACACCAGCGGCTTACCTCAATCTTAACTCGCAGCATTGCCAACACCAGCGTCTTACCTCAATCTTACCTTACAGCATTGTCAACACCAGCGTTTTACCTCAATTTTAACCGACAGCATTGCCAACACATGCGGCTTACCTCAATCTATACTTACAGCATTGCCAACACCAGCATACTATGATAAGGCTAACGATAACAACATATGGATCGTTTACTTTCCCTTTCTTGATAGTAATACCCAAGCTCCTTTCACCAATAGTATTTACTTGTTTAAGTTGATTTCATATTCAAGAGGTTTCTCGGAATTTTACGATCTCGTTTTGTATATGGTATCCATATCTTCGTGAATAATTATAGAAATATAAATAAAGTTTGTGTGAAATACATGCATTTCGCATGATCGGAAACGTATTAAATATAACATCATGGAAAATCAAGGGTTAATGATCACAGACGTTCTCTGCACCCCCACGTCATGAAAAAATAAAAGGTACGCGATCAGCTACTTGAACTGTTTTAGGGGAAATGACCCAACCACTCGCTAGGCTGGAGCGACACCCGACTTCAAAGCAGGTCAATTTTACCGTTACTCTCCCGAGCGATTCTTTTGATGTACATCAAAGAATCAAACTTGTTCACTTGTATCCTCCACATCCCTCCGATTTCATCATGACATATTCCAGAGGCCCTGAGGAGGTAATTGAGCGTAACTCCTAGAATTTAGAGGATATTACCTACTTTGCTTATCAAATTTGTTTTATTTCATTGATACGAAACATAAAATTATTGTTTACCATTTACTGAAGATAAAAAAGGAAAAGCATTACTGAATGGTGTAATTTTAATAGGTGAATACCAATCATTGCAGACAGACCACACAGGATAGGAATTTGTTATTCTCGTAAGGTGGACACCGTAGGGATCCACAAACACTGCGAACGCCATAGAAGAGTTTCCCGTCTTGATTCGCAGAACCGCCGAACAATGGTTGCGGCGATTGGTCCATACAGACATTTTCCGAAGGAGCTGGATGAGCATAATATCCACTGGCTAAGTCTCCCTGATAGGCTTCAGTCCAACCAGAATAGCACACGTTCCTACCCGGGATCATGAGGATCGATGAGTGGGCGGGGCTTCTACAGACGGCACACGGGACGTCTTCGTTTGAAGAATCCTTACCAAACAAGCCGTGATCCTCGTACTCCGCGCCATACATAAAACCCGAGTCATCCACGGCGTCTTTGTGTTGTCCCCACAGCGGCTCCGTAGGTAGGCACACTGGACTTGCTGCTCCTCCTGGATGTGCGTAATGAGATCCACCGGCAAACCCTTAAATGGAAACGGCTTTATCTGTATCGTCAAATTCGTGTGGGTGATTGCCGGAAAATTCATACGACAATTTGGCTTAAAAGTATTTTACACTGTCTGTTCAGTCATCCTTGATTTTTACATTGTTTGTCCCTTCACTCTTGATTTTTACATTGTTTGTCCCTTTATTCTTGATTTTTACATTGTTTGTCCCTTTATTCTTGATTTTTACATTGTTTGTCCCGTCGTAGCTGACATTTTAGACTGAAGATCTTTCATTTTGTTTATTTGACGTCGATACATGTTTTTATTTTAACGTCCTCTAAGCAAATGGCCAAGAAGAATAAATCCTGCGAACCACCAGCGAATCCTGCAGTATTCGTTTGAAACTTGAAGGGATATTGCATGACAAAATGAAAGAAACGTCAGACATGCACTTTTAACAAGAAAATCATATTGCAGTTCAACTCCGTAAAGTACTGTGTTTATCCTATCAATGAACCTTAACACTGTATTGTAAGATTTATGGTAGTGAATACTTGAAAAAGATTAAATTTGCGCAAAATTTTACTGATGTCAGTTAAAATATATACACTATTAATTTTCCAATGATTACGAAGCAAACGTTTTGTCAACTCTTATGCAAGCCCGGACTGTAGCGCAATGGATTCCTATTATCGAAAACATAAACCTGCTGTTTTCATGCAAGTTTCCCCATACTTTAATGTACGTCCTATCAGGAGGACATAGATAACTCATAATATCTGATGCTTTTGAATAAAAGAACATGTTTTTAACATTATGAAACTTTCCCCGTTTCGTAGACAACGGTTTTTCAATTAATTCACATCCACAACATATCGGGCGCACGATTACATTTTTTTGCGACTTTCCTTTGTGTAATATGTTAGCTGTTACGAAATCATGATGCCGTACGTTCCATGTAATACAATATTTACCGCGCGGCTGTATTGTTTACCTGTGTACACAAGGGAAGACACATTGACCGGGCAATCCTTGTGTCCCCATCTCACGAAGGTCGCCCCACCTGTCGAGGAAGAAAACATCGATGAGAAAGGGAAAAGGATTTTTTTT